TGAATTAATTGTTCTCAGATTCCTACTTTTCTCCTGCATCTTCATCAAATGTTATGTCAGGGAGTAACCTTGGCAAGATTTCAGCTAGCTCATGAGAATAATCTATAGATTTTACAGAACAAGGCAGCACTGGGGGAAAATCGAGAAGGGATCTTCTCTCAAGCCTTCCAGTAACTGCCAAAGTTGATGGAAAAAGACACATTCATGCAGGCAAGGAGTGGTTCAGTGTAGGAATGTTATCTCTGATCATATGACTTTCTTTACATGAGGCAGGCTGTGTCAAGGCTGAGATAAATAGAGGACTCTGGCAGCTTTCATGCAATAGCTAAGTAGCCTATCCTGTTAAGAAAAACAGTTCCCTTCAGATGATCTATGTAATGTTCATGGCCCACTGACTCTTCCAAAGTAAAGAATCAGATTTTAAAATGTGTCCTATTTTGGATATTGTTTGTGGATTTTTAGCAGATCGGTTGATTGCATGAGAAGCTGCTCTTGGCTTTCAGGTAGCTTCCCTCTCTGTCTAGTAACATAACTTTTTTTCTGGCAAACACAGCATCATCAACACCTTTTCTCTCAGCTGGGACTGGTTGCTGACTTTTGGCTCTGTGGGCCCAGATGCACTGATAAAGTAGAATGTCAGCTAATGGTTAATGAGGGCACTCTGCAGCTGTCTCCTACCAGCAAGCTACAAAACAGTCTGGGGAATACAGAGCAATGATTTGAGAGGTGCACCTTTCCCCTCCAGAGGATAAGCTTCAGAGTCTACAGGAACTGCACTGGTATAGACCTTGCCCATTCATGTAGCTATATATATAAGGGCAGGAAAGCTTCAGACTTCCTTGTCCCTATTTATTATTTCTTATTGTAGCTTCAAATGAATTGGTGTGAACTTCATAGCATAATATGAGCCAATTTTTCATCATCTGATTGTGTTAATGATACCTGTATCTCACACTTGCTTTTATCCCTTAAGCAGGTTTGTGAACAGTAGTTCTTTTCCTTCTGAGAGTTGGTGGCTTCATAGTGCAGGAAATTGGCTATCTGTAGCATTTGTCCTGTTTCACATTAGTAACAAGTTTGATAATGGCTTTGCAGGCAGACAGCAAAGTCTTCATGGCACCTTTTAGAAACAAAACCAATAGACCAAGTAGACCAAATGGTCCATATAGAGCAAGCTCCTAGAAATCCCTCGCTGAAGCTGGTATTTGCGTTTCTGTATCAAGTTCTCCAATGTAGAGCTGTTTTCTTTGCAAAGTGAAGTGATGTGACCAATCCTGCATCTCAAGTATATGGATATATAATTAGAGAAATTGCTGGGGATGTCCTTCCTACTTCTTTGAGATTTTGAGGCACAAAGTACTTGTCAGGCTCACAGGACATCTTGGCTTGAACACATCCTTTTGCCTTAAAGTTTAGGCAGGTTTTCTGTCTTTTCAGGGGTTTTTAACACAGTTGCATTGGGTCACTCCCACTTTGTGATGTGATAGAATTGGTTTGATTCTCTATGTACCAGTTATACTGGGTCTTCAGGATGAGAAGGGCGATGATGATTTCTGGTTTGAAAACCATACCTGAAAGATTGTATGTGTTCACCAAATACATATAAAGAGATGTCAGCTTGATTTTCAGCCCTCTTTTGCCTTGTGATTGCTGCCAGTCTTTCTCCCCACCTTAGATACCGCAACACTGGAACAAGCTTTATTTTTTTTAATATTCCATTAATTTAATTTAATTATATGGGAATGATTTTTTTGTGTGTTTTACTTTGAAAAGGCTGACAAAAATCCCTTAAGATTGTTAGAAAACAAGAGGAGTGAAATAATGTCAGGTGGATAAAAAGTTTGAGGTTTGTTTTTTGTGGGTTTTTTTTCTGCTTGTGGACTTTGCAGCTATGTTGGGCTATGCATCAGAAGAGAATAAGTTAAAACAGCTTATGAAAAGATACTTCTGTTGAAGTAGCTGAGCCTAGCTGATGGCTTTGTTATGTATAGAGTTCCAAGTAGTAGAAAAACACCTTGTTTATGTGGATTTTAGTATATTCCTTCTTTGTTTTCCCTCACCTTTGTGTTCTTGAGTTACCCAGAGTCCTTTGTTTCTTTACTGTCAGCCAGAAATGGTAGAGCAATATTCCAGGTCAGTGCCCCTGTTACTGTGAACTCAGGGTTGGAGAATGTAACACAGATTACAAAAATAGATTTGGCTGAGGTGGTATCACCATTTTAGAGAAAATGAAATGAAATGTGAATCCCAGCTCAAAAGGCAGTCCAGTTTCACTAAACTTTGAAAATACTAACATAACATAAGGTTTAACAGCAGGACATAGTAGAGACAACAGCATCCCTGGAAATACAAGGTAATTAATGTTCCCACCTGCCATCTGATCCAGCATCTGGGATTTATAGGGTAAAGAAGCCCTGTAGTTCCAGCTGAGGGTACAGAAGCCGCTTGGACACATCATAGAAGAGTTCAATAATAGTACTAAGGAAGAGAGAAAAACACTCCTGGCAGTTGTCTTTATGAGATTTTATTTTGCTGGAGAGGGGTTGGAAATAAATGCCACTAATTATGGCAAGACCTATCTCATTTTGTGTGAAAGACTAAGATACTGAGTGAGTAATTGCCCTGAACAAAAGGCTGTTAGGAATAAACTGAAGAAACTATGAAGGATGGAGAAAGAAAATGAAAACTGTCTTGGAGGTCAAAATGTGTCAGGATAAACATTGCCAAAGCTCATGCTGGGTTAGACTTTGCAAAGGAAAGGAAAGGAAACAGCTGTATTCTTTAAGCATGTAAGTAAAAGCAAGGTAAGGGAAAGCAGAAATGTGTCTACAGTGACGATGGGGCTGACATAAAATGCAATTTTACATGTAGTCAGGCAATCAAATGAATACTTGGCCTCCAGTTACATGTTGGGACAATGAAATTGGACATGGGAGCAAAATAAGTCAATATGCAGCCAAATTTGGAAAATGAAATTAATCTGATGAATATGGAAGCAAAGTTTAAATCTTACTATACTGTAATGAGTGAAAATAAAATTCAACTGAGTAGTCTTTGCTTCAGAAGAGTGGAAGAATTGTACAATGAAATTGTGAGCTTTGTGGTACCAATTTGTGATTAAATCAAGCTATCCTGATGTATCTTGACTACCTAATTCAGGGTAATACTATGTGACCGCTGGGTGACAGAAATATGACCTTCAATTAAACGATTAAAAATAAAATAAAAAAGGTGATCTGAACAAGTACATATCCCTTAATCTAAACAGATAAAACACCTTCTCTGAAGGAATATCTAAAGACTGCTAGTTCTGCAAGTGAAGTTCGTTGATCTTATGAAGGTAAGTGTTATAAAATCTGACACGGATTCACCAAAGACTATTCTGGCCTAGCTTGATAGCTTTTGTTGACAAAGTAACTGACTGCCTCCATAAGGGAAATGTGAACAGTCTGGACTTCAATAAAGCACTTGAAGTCTCCACATGGAAATAATTATTTAAATTGGATAAAATCACAGAGTAGTACATGAAGCGTCAAGTAGCTAAGAAGTTGACTTAAATGAGAGATTTGAGGTTTCACTGAAAAAGGAAATAATGGGGTTGGATGTCACCTACAGACTGTGGAGTTCCACAAAAAATGATCTGGGACTGATGTTTGTAATACTTTCACAAAGATTACTGGCAAAAAAAGAAAAGGAAAAAAATATACTAATGAAATTCATTGCTAAGACAACAATTCCAACCCTCAGCAATGCAGAGGAGGATAGGCACGTCATACACTAAGAACCGCAAAATGTTGCAGACAGACTGTAATTTTAAAAATAGCAATGTAATAGTAGAAAGTACTAGGTCATGCATGAAGAAAGTGTTGAGAATTTTGGCTACCAGCAAGGTGCTTATCAGTTGAAAGCAAAGAAGGAGAAAGATCTGAGTATCAGTGAGTAAATAAAAGCCACCAGTATTAAGTGGCATATAAATAGGCAAGTGTGTTCTCACCGTGTACCAGATGAGAGATTTCTGGCAGGGTTATATGTTACGCTGATAAGGCCTCATCTGGAAAGCTGTGTTCAATTCTAATCATGCAGGTTCTGGAAAGATTAATCCAAACTGGGACAGGTGCAGAGACCTGGGAGATGATCAGTACACTGAAGAGCTTATCTCATGAGAGGAAGACTTGGCTTGTTTAGCAAAGCAAAACAGAAGCTTGGAAAGATTGGGCTCTGTAAATAGTAAGCTGGGTAAGGGTAAACAGTGGCATGGTATTTAAGCTAAAATACTATAATTTTTAAAAGAAATGAACGAATGCAGGTTAGACTTCTAATTCATTGAGTGCCACAGTGAATGAAGCTCCTGTATACTTTCCTCCAACTCCCTGGTTCATCTGTCCTTGCAATTTTTGGGGATTCAGGGGATTTGTTCTTGTAAACATCTTACCTAGATTTTTTCCCTGTGGTGCATTTCATCACAAACTCTGATTAAAAAGCAAATTAATTCAAGTCTATAAAAAGTTTTGAAACCTGCTCTAAGTGGGCCTTGTTCATTCCTCCCTCATCCTTAATTAGTAATAATATTTTCTTGTTCCCTAGGTCTGTAGTCTTGCCTTGCCTGGTAACAATTTTAACATGCAGCAGGATTGCCCCATAGCATTTCTGTGTCTCATAGAATATATCCAGTCTGTGGCCAGGCCTTCCCCAGTACTTACTACATAGACTTTGTTGCAGCTCTACTTTTTGCAGCTAAAATGTCCTTATTTCCTCTCTCAACTGGGACACAACATTCTTTTTAGCATCGGTTAGCCAAAACCACTAAGATTCACTTTTGCAGTCTGGCTCCCCATCAGGTTCTGCCAGTAGTGGTGAACAGAATAATGACATAAGGTATTTTCTTGTTTTATTTACATTCCTCTGCCTCATGCCCTTTTTTTCCCAATTGCTCAATTTTCTTAAAAACATTACAGTTCTGATTGTTGCATTTATTGTTTATTTACTGGCTTATTCTTTAGGTTCTAATGTAAATGGGCTGGAAGAGCCCAGCCTTGCTAAGCGGCTGCGTGGCACACCTGAGCGGATTGAGCTGGAGAACTACCGGCTGTCACTGCAGCGGGAAGAAGAACTGGAAGAGGTTCCTGAGGAGACGCTGGCAGAGCATAACCTGAGCAATGTGTTGGACAAAGGAACAGAAGAGGATGTGGCCAGCAGGTTAGCACACATTGTCCATAAGCTTTTTTTATACCCATCCCAACAGACTTTTGCTTGCTTTTCCCTTAGCTTTTTTAACGTATTATTTATCAAGTTGCCCTTTCTAAAGTTGTTGAAAATGTTATGCATATGTACACAGGTATTTTATCTTGTAGTTTCCATTCTTCTAAATAGCTTACTACCATTCTTAGAAGACACCTATAGTGCCATAATACCATGAAATTCAGTCCTAAATTGGAAGGGTTTTTTTAAAATATTTTTTTCATTTGTAAGAAAGACAAGTTAATCTTTTGAGCAAACAGAACATGGATTAAAATGGGAGAGGGTTCCAATGTTGTTCTGTATGTTTTGCATTACAGTTCAAAACCACTTTTGATTTAAAGATTCAAGCTTGACACCCATGTAATACTGACTGAATGCTGATGCAATGCCTGAGAGATATTAATTTGAAGCAGTAGTTACGGCTGCTGAAAAACATGTAGTACCATCACAAATGTTCTCTTTATCTGCAATATTGTACAATCATAGCATACCAAGTTTGAAGGGACCTCAGGGATCATCTGGTCCAACCTTTCTTGTTAAAACCACTGTCTAGACAAGATGGCCCAGCACCCTCTCCAGCTGAATCCTAACAGTGTCCAATGTTGGGGAATCCATCACTTCCCTGGGGAGATTATTCCAGTGGCTGATTGTTCTCACTGGGAAAAATTTCCCTCTTGTGTTCAGTCCAAATGTCCCCAGAAGTAACTTGTGCCCATTACCCCACATCTTTTACATGTTACTCCTTGTAAAAAGGGAGTCTCCATTTTCTTTGTAGCCGCCCTTCAAATACCGGAACATGGTGATAAGGTGTCCCCTAAGCCTTCTCTTCTCAAGGCTGAACAAACCCAGTTCTCTCAGCCTTTCCTCACATGACAGGCTTCCCAGTCCCTTGATCATCTTTGTGGCCCTCCTCTGGACCCTCTCCAGCCTGGCCACACCTTTTTTGCATAGCAGGGACCAAAACTGAGAACAGTATTCCAGGTCTGGCTTGACAAGCGCTGAGTGGAGTGGGATAATGACTTCTTTATCTCTGCTGCATGCCCTTGTTGATGTAACTCATTATCCTGTTGGTTTGCTTTGCTGCTACAGCTCACTGGTCACTCACATTGAGCTTGTTCCAGGTCCCTTTCCCCAGACCTGCTCCCCAGCCAGGTAGATCCCAGCCTGTGCTGCACTCCTGGATTATGTTTTCCCAGGTGCAAGACCTTACACTTTTCCTAGTTGAACTTCATGAGGTTATTGTTAGCCCACTCTTCCAGCCTATCCAGGTCTTCCTGCAGGGTGGCTCTCCCTTCTGGAGAGTGTCCGCTTCCGCACTCAGCCTGGTATCATCAGCAAAGTTCATCAGGGTTCACTTGATGATCAGTAAGTAGACCAGAATCCCAATATATACAGGTACAGCTACTGGAAATAGTTGTTGCAAGAATCATTGAGAGAAAGTACTTGATGAAGAATGCTTGTGAACTTTGTAGTCAATCACCCACTTTTTGCAGAGCCTCGATCTCTTAATATGGTTTTTAATAATCTGCTTTTCTCTGTAGCGATAACAACCCTTACCTTTTCAGATCTCAGTCTGTCCAGCAGGCTTCTTGAAATAAACTCAGAAAATGCTGGTGTTGGTTTCCTGAGACTTAGATCCTACAAGCTTATAGGGCTGTATGAGAAATTTTGTACTACATTTATATTATGTTAAATTGAATTGATGTGGTGAAGACTGCAGGAGTGAAAATGTTTACAGGACTAGTGTAGTACAGAATCTGTCATTTATTTATCTGATAAGTTTGAAGATGCAGCATCTGGAAAGGGGTGACTTTTAGTAGCCTGAACTCAGCCTTGACAGAGAATGCATATGTGTGGACTCGTGAAGGTGTGGCTTTCATGTAAGTGCCTGGCAATTAGTAATATCTTGTACAACTGTTTCCTCCAAAACCTAAATAATACTTTTTGATTAATTTCTTAACATGTTAATTTCTTTAGAAATAACTATTTCGACATTTTACATAATTGAGATCTTCTCTAGTGCTGTGATTGAATAATTGTGGGACTATTTGTAGGAGATGCAAACTCGTGCTTGCTTCACTCATCCTTCCTTTAGCTCCCTGCTCAGTCCTAGGAATTATATCAGCTGTGACAGTATAGGCATTAATGATAATGAGGGAGTTTTAGTCCTTTATGTTTCTAGCTCAAACAAAATTTACTAGTACGGAACATTATCATTATTATTATTATTGGTCTTGATTTCAGTAAATCAGAACACAGTAGGCCCGCTCAGCGAATGGCAGAAGACTTCCAAAGGACAAGAGTTAGTTAAAAAAAGTGGAGTGTTGGCATTTTGGCATAAAGCTGTTGGTCATCTCCAAGAGGTGTTTTGCAAGTTTGTGGAGACTCAGTGCAGTACACTAGTAGGTCAGTGAGTTTGATTTCCTCCTGTAGGGTGTTACATTTAGCTTTCTTTGTCCTATATACATCCCCATAACCTGTAATTAACTGAGTATTTCTGCTTGTAATAGACTGAACTGTATAATTTTTCATTTGAAAAACAGTGTTTAGTGGGCAACTCACAGTCTATGATAGAGAGGAAAGAGAAGATTCATCAAATTCCCTGTCAAGTTTGACCTGGAAAAATTTATGTCCCAAATCCAAATATGGCAAGCAATTTACTCAGAGCACTGATAAGTCTGTTCAGACCAAACATCAGAGAGAGAATTTTCTCGATGATGTAATTATCAGGTGTTTTCTGCTCAGATGTACCAATTCAATGAAAGAACCAAACAAAAAAAAAAGAAGAAGTCTGACCACTTTTTCAGAAAAATAAAAAGTTTGACCGCTGCGACAAGCCAAGCAAAGCTCTATTTGATCACCGTCACTGTCTTGGTGCAGCACTGCTGGATTAGGAGCAGGCAGAGGAGATGGGGAACTCTTTGCTCCCTCTGTGTCTTACAGAGTGATGGATTGGGCTTGAAGGTTCATTGAGGCATTAGCTCTCAGTCAAGCAGACACCACACACTTGGTGCAGTTTCCTATCACACACACACTTAGGAGCATGCACACTGCAGAGGAAGTTAGAAAACAGTATTCAGAGTATATTTTTATAAAAGAGAGTTAATCTTGTTTAAGCTTCAATGAGAAAAAAATCATTTAAGCAACCAAACCCTGATTACACAGTTTTGAGGGGCAGAAAAAACCTTGAGATACCTTATTCATTGCATTTAACTTGCAGTAACTCCTAGTAGGTCATGTGCAGTTTTGGTATAATACCCTGTGGCCTTCTGAGGAGGTACCATAGGACGGCTTGTGCTGTGTGGGTCTGGGTGGCAAGGGAAAAGAAGCGGTTCATTTCCACAGTTTAGGTTTCAGTTCCTCTCCTCAGCACTAAATCTCTGTATGTACCCTTTTTTACGAGATACTTAGCTGCTTATACGAATTCTATAAAGCAACCTACTTTGGTCTTTGATCTCTGTTTTATAGGGAAAAAAAAAAGTTTCAGCTGTTGAATTAATTCCTGTGGCACAAGGTTGCCATGCTGAAAGGAATGGCCACTATACTGGGCCATCTCACTGCCATCTTTCAGTTTCTAATTTCTCAGTATTCAAAGGTCAAACAAAAACCAAGTTATAAATAAAAGCCAAAGAAGGTAAAGTGAGCTATGTGGTAAAGAATTTGTGTCATCAGTATTACATGTGATAAGCCAGCTGGTTGAAGATCAGAAGCTCATTCTATTCTGCAATCATGGCAACAGTTTGAACAGCAGTAAACATTATTGACAGCACATGAAAACCCCAACATGCAGCACCTGTCAGGTTTATTTGCATACCAAAGGATGGGAAAGTAAATCAGGGAGGAGGGGAACATCACTTTTTATCTCTGTGACAATATATGCATAAAGCCTTTGGAATATGCTTCAGTCTCCTGGAATATGCAGAGTCCATGGCATGTAACAGTGTATGTGTTCAGTATTTAGCATGTAAAAATCAGGCAGCCTGTTAAAAATAAGTATTCAGTTTATGCTGTTAAAAAGTGGGTTGCAATTTCAGCAAAATAATGTTATATATGTGCAGAACATTGAGGAGAATTTAAGAGCCTATGGACAGAAGTACATGACAATCAGAGCATGAAAAAAGTGGTGTTTTCCTTATTAGCTTTGCTATCAAAAATAGTTTCTCAGACACGTAGATTAATAAAATTATGTAAATATGGTATGTTTGTGTAGTGTTAGACTAATTTGAAGTCCTGCACCTGAATATGTTTATCTGCTTTATGAGTGCCACCATATGTAATTTTTTTTGAAACTGCCAGTTTGTCACATACTGTAAAAAAACCTGTGTATGGGAAACAGAATAACAACATCTTTACAAGTTATATTTTATAGACCTACGTGAAATTTAAACTTCATTGTTTTCAACTTGTCGGTTTTCCCTCTTGTTACCTATATGGAATGGGTTCTGCCAAAGGCTGCTAACTACAGTGATAGCTGTCATAAGGAAGCAACAGAAGTAGAATACTGTTCCCAGATGAGTCACCCAAATTTTAAGCATTCACAGACAGTTTTCTTCTTCAATCCAGATTAATCTGGATCTTTTAAGATTTATATGCATCTTACTGTTGCTCTAGTTTTTTTTATGACAATGAACTATTAAAGAAAAACAAAGGAAGAGGACCTTTTCACCATGCAGGTATGTCCTCTGAATGTGCTGTAGTTCATGTTAATTTTCCAAGGACAAATGCAACCTTCTTTCACCCCAGTACCTCTAGGTAGTCCAGTATGTAAGAGTGAGCTGGATTAAATGTCACTGTATAGGCAGTTACATTTCTTGTCCCTGCTGCTTATACTGAGGAACTGTTAGAATTAGAGAGATGTCTACCAAAAAAAGCACTAATGATTTAGTGTTTTGCATGTTTTAGACTTTGCTGTGAGATTAAGAAGCTCATTATTATTATTAGCCTTGCACTTCTTCCTACAGTTTCTTGTCACTATGTACACTGTGTACTAAACTGAATACATATTATAGTTATGTCTGTGATGTAGAGCAGTGAGGAATTATGTTTGTTTTTTTTTTCTCCAGCTCTCTTTAGTTCATATGCTGTATCCTCTGGCCTGATTGTTGTGTGTTCTTTCTACTCTCAAAGTCTTTTGTGGTTCACCCCATCAAGTGCCAAAAACATCTTAGCTGTCCAAAATGCTAGCAGTAGCTGCCATTATTGAAAGACATGACCTTCTACATTCTGGCACTGCTAAGAACTCTTGCACTGGTTTATCCCAAGCAATATGATACGAAGAAAGTAGTTTCTGCTGTATTCAACTGTCATGAACTTGTAACAATTAATGCTGCACAATTATTTGGACTTGGCTTCACAGGCTCTTTTGTGCTGCTTCACCATCTTTAAAAGAAGCAGGACAAGGACCATACTGCAGCTGATGTGCAATGCTGTCACTAAAATGCCTATGAAATATTGAAAGCAGAAAAATAGTATTATGGTTTCCGTTGTAAATTTTGGGGTTGCATGTATTGAAACAACTTGTCAGTGGTCTAGGGCTGTTCTAGGAAACATTAACTAATTGTTTATTTATCTTTTTTCCTAAACCTTTACAGTAGTTCAGAGTCTGAGATGGAGGAGGAAGATGAGGAAGAAGATGATGAACTACTGCTGCCTCAGCAACCACCTTCAGACTTGGGTGGTGTGCCATGGAAAGAGGCTGTGCGTATCCACGCCCTGCTGAAGGGAAAGAGTGAAGAAGAGATTGAGGCTGAGGAAAATCATGAGATTGAGGACAAAGAAGATGAAGAGGAAGAGGAGGAGGAGGAAGATGAAGAGGAGGAAGATGAGGAGTCAAGTGAAGGTTAGACAGATTGATTTGTCCTACATTTCTGCTAGATAGCAGGGAAAACTGAGTTGAGTATTTGCCATACAGAATGAGAAAGATTTGCCTTGAAAAACTTTTCTTCTTCTTTCACTTCTTTATTGCTTTGATTTTTGAGGGAGTTAGTGTCAAGGAAAGCTTTAGGTGGACTGTTCTGAATACAGATCTTTCCCTACAGGGCAGTTACAGCACTGGTACCTACTCAATATGCTTCCCATACACCATGCCAACATGTGCAATTCACAGATTTGTGACACTGTGTTGTTTTATTGGGGTTTTTTTTATTGTTATTGGGACTTGGGTTTGAATGTGCCCTTTGTTCTTAGACAGCAAGAGCTGGAAGCATTGTGGAGGAGTATTTTCAGTTTTGCAGAGTGCCTCACTAAGGGGTAGGGCCCTGTAACTGTCATCAGGGCATTCCAGAAGAAGTTGCTTGTAGTTCTCATTAGTTAAAAGATGGCCTTGGGAAATCAAGGAGTTCAGGTGGTTCCCATTTTAGCTCTGAGTGATTTCTGTGGAAAATCTTAGGGAAAGGCTCCTTCCCCCGTGTTTGTCTCAGTCATCAAAATGCAAAGTTTGTGCTAAGAATAGACATGTTTCCAGTGTTTCACCACCATGCCAAATTTCTCTCTGATCTTGTTTTTGTACTCACATTTCATTTTTGTGAAGACTAGTAGACTCCAAAGAGCTTCTTTATAAAGGTCTTTGGCTGCCTAATGCAAGGAGAGGTCCAGTTTTTTGAGACTTAGTGGCAGTTTTGTTGATGAGTTCAGCAGGCTGCTTGGCTACTTTTTCAGTGTAGGAGCTGTATCTCCATAACTGACGTTTGTGGAAGTGAAGACTGCTTTTTAAGTATGGTAACATGCATGTTGTGTATTTAGTCAGATAAACCATGGTGTTCTTGGATGGACCTTTTGTTTGAGCAGTTTTCTTGTCAGACATTTTGAATACAGTGGGAGTACGGGGAGTTGCTGGATTTCCAGACAGTCTCTCTTTCTGATTCTGTCCTTTCTCTCTTTCTCTCTCTCTACCACTTGTGTGTGTACACGCATGTCTGGTGTTATATATGGATGTGTGGTTCCCTCTGCTGTAGAGGGGGAGTATTGCCCTTGGGAGAGAGAGCTGCAGCAAGGCCTCTGGCTTCAACATCTCTCAAATGAAGAGGACACGGGTACATTTAAAGGTACCCATATACCATCTCCACTTCCATTTCCCCGAAGAAGGGGGAAATGTTTTTAAGAGCAGGTCCCACATGAGACGTTTCTGTGTCATCTTTAGTTGCTTTACCAGCTCCCTAAAAACTGATTCAGTAGCTGTTGTTATCTTCATCTCCTGGTCCAAGTGCCATTTATCAGGTCTGACATTGCAAGTGGTTTTAGGAAAAAGATAAAGCTGCCAAGTACCTCAGGATATCTAGAAAGCATGGACAATTTGCTACTGTAATGTGCATGAACAGTGGCCCCCACGTATTTAGGAGCTTCAGATTTGTTCCATAGACACAGACTAATTGCACCTGTGCAATATGTCAGACTTGTGGGACACATCAGAAGTACTGCCATTAGATTACCTGTGTCAGCAAACTTGCATTTTTTTGTTGTTGTCCTTTGTGAGTGTGTGTATGTGGGGAGAGTCTGTGAAGGAAACTCATCAAGCTGTGGTGATCCCTCAAGATTTTTCAGTCATATTGTGGTGGTTTAGGCCCTGCTGGGACTGGAGACCACGTTACTGTTGCCCCTCCCTCACCCTCAGCCAGTCAGACTGGAAGTGAGGCACAAACCCTGGGTTAAAATAAGAAGAAATTTAATACAACAGTGTGATAAACAATCTGAACAACAACAGTAGTAATGATAACAACAATAAACAGTAATAACAGTAAACAGGACAAAAGATATACAGAGAAATACTGCAATGGTTACAGACAGCTTGCTCATGTGCTTCCCATCACCAAAGCCACAAACTCACCAGCGCCCAGACCTGACATCAGCATGGTATGAATAACCCGGCTGGAGATCCCTTCCTCCTTCTCTGCTGGGGAAACTTAACCCTATCCTACCTGAACCAGGACACATATAATGGGTATAAAATTAATCTGACATTCCAATCTAACTAACTGTTAGTGTTTCTTTCCATGAGGCACTCTCCTGTGGTTTATTTCTGATGGTTGGTTTTTTTGGAGTACTTGGTCATAATAGCTTGTTAATTCCTTATTTTCTCATTGTGGTTCATTAGAGCTAGAATACGTAAGAGGAAAATCCAAGTGCCTTCCTTCAGGTAAGAGGGCATATACAGTTGTCAAACTGCGTATTTTGCAGCTTATGGTTGTAACAACTGTAACTGAGCTTCTGACTTTATTTTTTTTTTTAAAAAAAAGGATGAGGTGTTGTAATTTTTTACAATTAAACTTTTCTGATGGTAAGAATAAGAAGTATTAGTATGATGGCTGAAGTTCTGAGTAAGTATAAGTAAGCATAACTGAAGTTCTCCCAGTTGCCATTGCTAGTGTGCTTTAGACCTGGCTCCTAAGGGTCCTAAGGAGTTGAATTGCAGGTGGCTTCTTATTCCCTTAAGTACTGAGACTGCCCAGTGTTTATAAAGTGCTGGCAGGTGTTATGGTGGAACTGGAGTTGAAAGCTACCTTTCCAAATGTAAATGCAATTAACGTCCAGCTTCTGAAAAGCTTAGCAGGCAGCCTTGAGTGAAGGCCATGCCAGGTGTCATTTTAAATTCTCAAGCATTTAGACCTCAAGTAAATGGTAAGTTTGCCTGTTAGCAATCAGCTAACAGCAATCCTTCGTGGCTGGCTAATCTGCTATTTATTTACTGGAAAAGGTGAGAAGGACCCATGTACTAATCAGGACAGGCTCAGGCCTCTGTCTAGAGATTTGTGGAGTAAATGAAGGTGTGCATGTTACACTGGTCTAAATCACAGAGAAATCCATTTTAAAACATGCAGATCATGTGGGACCTGCTCTTTTCAAGACTTGCTGAGTGGCTGTATACTTCTCAGCCATTGATGGCAAACCTAAACCTTTTAACACAAGATTTTGTGTGGCGATGCAAATGCTAACTCTACTCATCTTGGGGCCTGCATGCGAGTGCTTTGGTACAGAGTGAGAATACTCCAGGTTCCTGTCCCTGCAGGATGTCCAGTAGGTCTGGGAGACCATGTGGTTGTGCTAATTGATACAAAAACTCTCTGATGAGGCAGCAGAAACATGAAATGGCTAAATACTTGGCTAATCTGTGAATCCTGCTCTGCATTTGAGTTTGTGCGTCTGAACCCTTTTCATCTTTAATAACCTGCTGGTGATTTTGTCCTTCCTGCAGTTCCTTCTGCCTGATTCTTCTGCAGTTTTAATGCCAAAGCTCACATATTCCTGAAATGGAAGTCCCAAACACACTGTCACGTCTGGGGAAAACATGACTGGGCAAGAGGAACGTCATTAAAATGAGACAGCAGGAAGTAATGAGTGCAACCTCTAAATGCTGCTAATGTTTCTTGTTTCCTTCAAACACTAGTGCACCACATGAAAATCTAACTGCTTTTGAGGTTCTAAAGTGCTTGAACAGTGTTTTGCCCTACTCAGTGGTAATCCAGCTGTTGTGAAAATTGACTTCCTACTTCATAAAACAAGTGGGCATTTTCCTTTCAGGATGAGTCTTTTGCTTTTGAAGACTACTCCTGTGGACACTGTACACCTGTCCACCATAGAGTGAGTTATTTTATTATGGGTAAATAAAACCCAAGCTATACTCCCATAGGAGATAGCAAGAGTCAGGATCTATGAATATAATATACCTCCAGGTAGATGCTCCCAAGGTGGGTATTCTGCAGCAGTTAAACAAGTTGCTTATTAGTTGCTTTAGGTGCCCTTGGTCCCCTTTGACACTCCATAATTAGCTGAGCTTCGTGCAGGCAGGTAATTGAGGAGTAATGCAATTTCTTTTAAATTAATTCATTTGTGCAACAGGAAGTCCCTTCTGGGGAGGTGGGGGTCTGTTAAGTCATAATGAAAATGCTGTTCTTCAGAAAAAAATTCTATATTTCAAACAAGTCAATACAAAAAAGCAGGAGTAAACAAAGTAGTGTTTTAAGTGCTACAGTAAGTGTGTGCCCATATGTACTTACACACGTGTGAAACTCTGAGATCCATCATGTAGTTTAATTCACAAAGAAATATGTACCCAGCACAGAAGTGAGTGCTTAGCCCAATAGTAGAGAATGAAAGTCCTTTTGTTTTGGTGCATCAAACTACAATGCAGATTGTCCCTTGCCTTTAAAAGCAAGATGTCTTTATCAATAATCATAATGACTAGGCTGAAGGAGCTGGAAATTTTTGCTAAATTGATATTTACATATCACACACTGTTGGACACCCAGAGAATGTCTTTCATTTCAGCAAAGCTGCTTGCAATAGAGTTAATCTACGATGATGTTTTTAATAGCATCTCTCTGCCTTTGGAATGGCATTGTTCGGCTTTGATGGGAAGTGTGAGGAGTGCTGTATTGGTGTATGTGTGCACACACGATGCTAAGCTTTTTCTGTCTGTCTTGCAAACTGATCTTAGCCAGTAATATTTTCTTTTCTTCTTTTCTTATTTCCCTTCCTATGATGTGTTACCTTTCCTTTCCACTGTTGTCCAATCTTTTCATCCCCATTCTTCATAACGCCCTGCCTACAACCTGGTATGCCATGCCTTCTTCCTGCTAGCTGGGAACCTTAGACTGCAGCAGATTGTAAATCCGGTGGATCCTCTGGAGATCCTGGCAGATGTGCACTGGACACACATCCGTGAAAAAGAGGAGGAGGAAAAAATGGTCCCAACATCAAAGTCCTCCACCTCCAGAGGTAATCTTCCTCAAGCCCTGCACTGTCAGTTGCTGGATCACAGTTGCAGCTGTTCAGCTCTGTTGCTTCTGTGCCCTTCAAGAGCAGTGTACTTCAGGAGGGGTAGCAGTGATTGAAGAGAACTACTTTCAAATTACACTGAAATTACACTGGTTAAACATTTTGCTTTTCAGGTCCCAGTCTACTTAAAGTGACCGCTTTCTCAGGTCTGTAGTCACGTGACTTCTGACCCATTTGTCTGCCTGCTTTGACTCCATAGCATTTTTCCTCACTATACACATGATTTGATAGTGCTGACAGTCAGCCCTCGGTAACTGACTTTACAGATAGTAATAGAAGTTGTCATGTTCTTTTTGTAGCAGTAAGGATCCTACACCTCTTTAGGGAACACTGAAAGGGCTGTGTTGTATAGCTACTACAGCAAAGATTGAACAGGGTCACCTTCTGTATTGAGCATATTTCTCTGCAGCTTTTCAAAGTGCATCTGGTATTAGTAGAGAATAATGGGGTTCAAACGTCTTGCAAATCTGGTCAGCGGTGGTTTTGCCTCCCTGTGTTTAAGATTTGACAATATATCTATTTTTTTAAGTGAGGTGTGACCTTTGTGAGTTGCCAGTTACTTAAAGGAAAACCGTGGAGGGGGGAGATGTCAATAGTCTAGCACTCTTGTAAGCACCTTCCAGCAGTCCCTGCTGTGACTTTATTCTAGACTATATTACAGTGTGTCTTAAGGTAAGTATGTCATAAGTGCTTTACCTATGCAGAAGCCTAGGCTTAATAAATGTTAACCATGCAGTTGATGAGTAGTAGTCTTCTCTCAGAGCCTGTAACATTGTGTCAGAATTGTAGAGGGAGTAAGTATGCTGTGGGAGGGGGTGTTTTACATCAAATGTGAAATGAAGTTAATGACTGACCTCTATTAAAAATGCCTAGAGCTTTATTTTGTGTTGCTTGATTATACTTCATTACAGATAATTATCTTCTCCTTGTAGTTCTAGATGTTTGTGGGGTTTTGTTAACCCTGGTGTAACTTGATGCACAGTTCCAGGTCAGTTTGGATATGCTTATAACTGCAGTTTGTAGAGTGCACTGGGATTTCCTGATGAAATCTGCTCCCTACAAATAAGAGATGGGTATTCCCTTCCCACTGCAACCACAGAAATAGGCTGTCTTCAACTGTCTGTAACATTAAGTATTGCTAGAGTAGTTGTTTAATGTTTAAAAAGGCTAAGTAAAAAATATTAACACAGTTTCTTAAGCTTACTACAATTAAGGTTACTTTAGCTTCTGCTTGAGGGTCTGTATCACTGCAGTTTCCAAATTTTTCTTTTAATTTGTATTTTATCATTCCTATTTTTCTGTAGTGTATTGGTACAGCTGCCAGCAAAAGATGATCCTTCCAAAACTGATTTTGTCACCTTTTCAGCTTCCTTTGGGAAGGAAGGCAGTATTTCCTTTCCTTCCCCCAAAACTGTGGCAAACTAGGACAATCCTGATCACTAGATTAGCTGCTTCAATTACTTTGTCCTACAGTACAGGTGTGTGCAGGCATATCAGCAGTTTGGTTTTTTAAAGGGCTGCCACCAGTAGGTACTTGTGGATATGCTATAAGTTTTCAACCTGAGTTCAACAGACAAATTTGTTCCTGGCTGAGCTGTATTCTGTGGTATGAGATATTTGGAGAGCCCATCAGTAGCAGTGGCAATAGGGTTTGATGTGAAAGCCTGGGATAGCATGACAGTACGTAAAAGCCCCTCTCTTTCTGCTTTGGGTGCTCTTCTTCCTCTGCTGGCATTCTCACCCAGGCAGCACAGGTTCTGGGGTGCCTGTTAAAACTGTCTGTCAGTCATTGCTCACATCTTTCATCTCTTAGTTTACCTCCTCTGCGGACTTTCAAGTGGAGCACAGCGGCAGCAAGCTGCTGGTCAGAAGAGGTGTTTTTCTCACTGTGCCTGTCTGTATTTTCTAGGTCCCTGACATTTGTATGTTATCTCAATTTAAATCCCAAGCCTGGAATTGGTTGTTTTAACATCTCAATAGATTTTATTCTTGTATTTGCCACTTAAAAATTTCCCTTTGTCACTCTTCTGTTTTAGACACTTATTGATGGTCTAATTTTGATTTCTTGCAATTTATTGTTTTTTAAATTCAGCATCCGACCTTCCCTCCGTACGCCATGAGGCGGTACAGGCGTGGCTGGAGACAGTCCCTGGAGGTAGTTTGGTGATGTTCTATGTATTCCAATGCACAATAACCTTGCCCGTCTCTTCTCCATGCCTTCAGCAGCTGAGCTGGTACTTTAACCCTGGAATTTACGGCCCTGTCGCTACTGCATGACTGGACATGGAGGGAGGGAGGAAGGGGGAGTGTGCATGCACGCCTTGCTCAGACAGTCCATTCTTGCATGAACATGACATTTGTTGTAACCCTTGTGAAGGCAGGCCAAACAGAGAGGTTATTTTGGGTGTAATAAAGTAGGAGGAATATAGATGAGTGCTTCGATTTGCTTTGTAAACTGAAGACTGACCAGTTATTCTCTCCCTAGCTCCATGACTAAAAGGACACGGGGCTTTCTTGCAGTTGAAAAATTAAGTGACAGAGTGCTTAAAGCAATTGCAGTTCTCTGTAGCAACTGCAGACTCTAGTTCTCTGGTGAAAACAAGAAAGAATAATAAGGTTGAAGCTGGGATCTTCAGGAATAGTGATGACTGTTGTGTCTCCTTTGACTTGGGCTTCACATTATTTAGGAACGCCTCAGGAAAGTTGAAGGATGGTAGAGCTCCACTGATTTTTTAAATATGGTCCTCTAAGCTCTATTACAAAACCAATGAAGATTCTGGGATTGGAGTAAGGGAGTAAATTTGTGTAAAGTGATGAAGGTATCTTAAATCAGTGGAACAGCAGCAGTTTGTGTCTGGGTAGTTGATCTATGGCTAAGTTGCTTTGGCACATCAGAATAGCTAGCTTGCGTATAAAACTTTGCTTCTGCTGCTGCTTTGGCAAGGCAGCAGTGTTTATAAGGTGTTTGCACACAATGCAGTCTGTTTATGGTTGCTAGCTGATATGAACCAAGTGCTGATCCCAGTTTCTGGCTGCCATAGCGTGTAGCTTCTGAGTTATTGTGTGACAGCTTTTGGCCTCTTGCTCCTTTTCCTAACTGCATATACGTATATGCACAGTATATGTATAATATAACTAGCCACCTGCAAAACTCTCCGTGTCCCTCAAAATGGGATCCACCCTTGCACCAATTTGTTACTTATCTATGCATCCATAATCTTCTGTTGAGTTTTGTGTACCAACATGTTTAAGAACTGATTTTTCTCCTCTCTCCAACCCTCTCTTTCTGTTTCATGTCAGTTCATAGTTTCTGGATCTGAAGACACACATACATAGTGGTATCAGATATTCCTAACATCAGTTATATTTTTGTGGATTTTGATTAAGATTACTCACATTGCTGCTATCATAAAACCATCCTATGTCATTATCATTTCCAAAATAGCATAAGATACTGCATACCTAAGCAACAGTCAGATTGGGACACAGTTTGGTTTTGTACAGTAGGTTTGTAAATAGCCCTGTGGGCAGTCCAGCCTTTGCCATATGATTCAATCTCCTTCTCTCAGAATCTGTAAGATTCTGGATTGAGTAAGTCTCTGACATAAGGGAATAGGCCAGTGCTTTATCACATGTAAGTGTAACTGCCTTTTCACAGTAGTTGACAGAAAATAAACTAGCCCATATGTTTTTCTGTCTTAATGCTACAGAGGGGAAAAGCATGGAAAAAAAGTTCTCAGATTGAAGGAAAAAGACAAACCACCCACTGAAGGCTGTGTTTTGAAATAAGCAAAAACCTATATTAGAGAAAGAGGAGAGGCTTCAAGACCTCAGTTATAGGGAGGGTTCGTTTGTTTTCAAGATTGTCTTAATTAGGAATGCTAGCATATAAATCGTTACAAAAGCCACATCATCACTAGTAAACAAAAAGGATCAGGGCCTACTCCCTGACTCAGGAGAAAGCTGGCACAATGTGATTCACTCTCATATGGCTAAACTTCTTTGCTATTCAGAATCAGGGGGCTGCATCTGGACAGCCTGTTGGAAAAAGCCTCTAGCCCTACCATGGGGGCTAACTGTTGGGAGTCGTGCCAGGAGCCCTCCTAAAGATAACAGTATGACACTGTATGCATTCAGGTCTAGAGACTTGCACCGCTTAGTTTACTGGTATAGAATCAACCAAGAAGGTTATAAATATATGTCAGCATCATTATAAGACTGTATCCTTTATAATTAGCAAACGTTGTGCATAATAATACATGCTGACACTGTATGCATTTGCAATAGGATATACAACAGAGTTAAATGTCTGCATGTGTTGAACATGAATTGATGCTAACTCACTGCAGAAATCTAAAAATGTAGTTGACTGCCTCTACTGTGGAACAAAAATGGAAATGCTTTTTTTTATATTTAAAATATGTTTTATGAAAAATGCTTAAGAAAAAAAAATTAAGCAAATCATCCATAGCACTAGAGGTGGGACAAGGTATAAGATTTAGGGGTTTTTTAAAAAAGTGTCATTTAATAATGAAATTTAGACCCTACAGTTCAGTCTTCTCTCTTCTCCTGTAATCAGAAGTAGCAATGTCAAATGCCCTTTTCAGAGTTATAAATTCAAGATTTTTTTTCTTTTTTTCAATCCAACAAATCAAATAATGATCTGTAAACAGAAAACTTTCAAAATATCTTTTAATTTACTTTAAAATATCTCAATTTGTGTCCTACTAACTTGTACAGCATATCAAGTCTCAAAGACTACGGTAGCTGCACAGAGTTAAAACAGTTTCCAAACGTAATAATGGTCAATCCCAGAGCTAGACTCTGTCTCTGACTTACACCTTCAAAAGCCTGTTTTAATTTCAAGATGAACAGTTGTGCTACATTGTGAGATTTCAGGTTTCACCTAATATGCATATGCTGTAAAGTGATGGTAGCTGTTCTGGTGCGGTAAAGAAAAAAATAATCTTCCTGGAAGAACATTAGAATTTATTCTGGTTTGATGTCCTCCCAGTCTCCTCCTTGTTTAATTTTTCACAAGGCCTGTTGCTCAGAAAAGCCCTGGCTGCTTTTGCTACAAGTGGCTTGGAGATAAGGGCAGGCATTCCTTGTTTTGTTGGAGTCTGGAAGTATCATTTCACCATAGATGTCTTTGCCGGTGGCACATTTCAGGATTTGTTGTTTTGGCAGCAGTTAATAAAGATCTTCTCTATACACTGTTGGTACAGTTCAATGTAGAACCTTTTTACTGTATAGTTTTTTGGGGGGGTTTATTTTGTTTTTTTTCTCAATATTGAATATATTCTAGCTCCATGTGAAGATAATGATGTGGAGGACGAGTTGGGCACAGAGCCTGCAGACACGGAAGGGCAGGCAGGTGAAGAGGGAGACACAGGTGCAGAGCTGGATGACGGTAGGGTACTGGCATGCATCATTTAAACCTTTGTATGAGGGTACTTAAACCTGATCTTTAGTGATGTATGAATTTGTTTCAAATACTCGAGAGAGGGAGCCAGGAGTGAAGGACAAAAAGAACTCTTGATGCCATGGATTGTAGAATAAATTTCTCACCATCTGCTAACTAGAGGGCTTGGTCTTGGGTCTGTGTTCAGTACTAATCCTACTGAATAACAGAAATATAAACAAATTTGTGAAAAGTCCACAATATTATGCCAAAAATCTTCCCTTGTTAGTGTAAAATGAACTGCATATGCCAGAAAACATTGTCAGATTTCCAGAAAACTGGTGAGGTATGACTTCAATTACTAATTTATTTGTACTAATACTCCATCATTTACTGCTAAAATGGTTCTAATTAGTACACAGAAAAAAGGAGTGAAACATTTAGGTTTTCAGGTTATGAAAGTGACTAGCACCATGTGAATAGAAAGAAAGGATTATAAAAGCTCTTTTAAATAACAAACAGATGTCCTGATGGATTTGTTTCCAAGATCTCTTGTTTTTTTCCCCTGCCTCATCTGTGATCAGATGACATCCCATCTGATGCAGAAGCAGAGTTTCGCTTACATCAGGGTGGTGTTGAAGAGCCAGAACTAAAAGTTTCTGAAGATGAAGAAGAAGGAGCAGAAGGTGCTTCTTGCAGTGTGACAGAAGGTAATAGCTTTCCCATCAGTATTTGAATGATTGTAATTGCATTTGGCGTAGTCTATACATTTATTAGATTTAAGAGAAGACAGTCTCTTGAATTTGAACCATCTTACTACTCTCAGTGGCAGGGTATGTACTTGCATTAACATTTTGAGAAGAATGTTCTGAATCCATTAATTACAGCTTCCTGAAGCACGAGAACCTATCTAACTGCTTTTTCTTGTAGAAGCTTATATGTTAAAAAGCTTGTACCATTTTTGACACTTCAAAATTTTTGTCTGTGTTCCAAATGTCTAGTCTAGAATTTGTAAAAATCTGAAAAATTTGTCACTACTTGCTGTGTATAACGGTAAAAAAATAGTATTAGAAGTGTCGTGTGATTTTGGAAAGTTTTTTGCTTTTCCTAGATCCATGCAAGCCATCCATCCCTATCCAGTCATCTGGTGATGGTGTTCTTCCTCTGTCTCCAGTTGATAGCCCCAAAGCAAAACAAGCAGAGGTAAGAAAGGGAATCTTTGATGTTTTCTAATTACTACCTGTAGTTCAATAGAGCAGTTTGTTGGATAAATTAATGTGGACTGACAGCAGTGGGCTTTCCTTCTTTCCTGTCTCTGTAATTTATGTTGATCATCTTGAAATCTGACTTCATTTTAAAAATCAGGTACTATCTTTCCTATCTTCAGAGTGTAATGGCTCTGTCACAGTCATACAAGTTTGCATCACAAAGCCCACAAAAGAATTATACAGGATATTTTAATTTCAATGTGCAGATAACGAGGTATACATAATGCATGAAGGGAGCCTTAAGTAAGTGATTTCCTGTTTATCCTAGTTTGGCTATCTTTTTCTGTAGCAAAAGCAGAATCTGTACAGTTGCAACTCAAAATTATATTTATATTACTTAGTAGTAACCAAAGCAGTGCTTATTTATTCCAGAGTAGCAACTTAGTTCAGCTTAAGGCAGTGAGACGTCAGTGATATACTGTCATGTTGTCAGCCTTCGTGTCAGCATGCAAGCGTAGTCTGGAGTTTCCAGCTACTGGTGTGTAAGAGCAGAAATGACCCTTAAAAGGTTCAGTTCAAATTTTTCCCTCCCAACTGTTTGTTTTTAAGGAATTACTAAAAGATTAGGCTTTATCCTAAAGAGTTTTGTCAAAAAACATTTTACTTTTACAATGGACACATTATAGGATAAGGCTGGTTTGCTGACAGCTATTGCTGACAACATCCACTTTCTATTAAAATTAAGGGTTTTTTTTCAGGACCATCAAATGATTGTTAGACATAGTCATTGTTTATATCGGGACAGTGCCTAAATGCAATATTCAAGGTCTGGGTGTTCAATATGTGTCATACAAGCATACAGATAGAGAGGTTCATGCTCTGATGGTCATGTGTCAGTTAAACCAAACTGCATTCAAAAGAAATCTGGTGCAAAAAATGTCATTGGAAAGAATAATACTAGCACTCAGTAAGAGGAGTCCACTGCCAAAGGATTAAATTATAAAACAATGAATTGTGCTGCTGAGTAATATGGCAGTCTGGATGTAGGAAATGAAAACCAAGACTTATCAGACCATTAAGGGTCAAGGAAATTGCAGCCTAATTTACTCTTAAAAGAGAAAGCACCCCTTACTTTAAGAAAGCATTACATCAGATGCTAGCCAGCAGAAAGTACTGTGTTGGTGAGAGCTGGAGAGACTTGCTTCAAATTTGTCTGAGACAGGGGACCAGCACAATACACAGAGTTGGAGATTTGAAGGGAGAGAGCGAAAAGATAGAAATGGATTTCTGAAATTCAGTTTAGTGTCTTTTCTTCCAAAAATTAAATTTGCTTTGCTACAATATCATCTACAAAAGACTGTTTATACAATGGGGCAGAAAAATGAACCATGTCTGATGAGAAGTCCTAAGTGGTGTTCCAGGCTTGTGAATGCGATGCCATGTGTGGGGTTTTTTGTATTTTGATAATTGGATGGTTTCTTTATTGCTAAGTTTGTTAAAAGCAAAAAAAATGGAACAGTATTCTAATGTGGCTAGTGATTATTAATACTTCCCTTTTTCATTTTTTGTAGGATGTAAAAGATCCTCTGGCTGAAGTATCCCGTGCAATAAAATCTCCAGAGGCACGCTTTTTTCCTGAGCCTTTCCTTCTTGAAGAAGGTCCAAAGGATGAAATTCCCAAAGACAGGAAAGTTAAGAGTCCTTTGGTACCACCATCTCCAGTGTTATCCCAGCCAGCTGCATCACCAGAAGCCATTGCACCCACATCACTAGCAGAGTCTCAGCCAGCGGCACCAACATTGGCTTCATCCCCAACATCTGCTCAAAAGCCCATCTGTTCCCAGCCTTTGCCTTCCACCGAAACATCCATTCCATCCCCAGTGGAGCCTCCAGTATGTTTCCAACCTGTCCCAGCCTTAACATCTACTCCTTTAGCCAAACTGGTCCTTAGGGGCCAGGGTAGCGAGATGGAAAAACTGGGGAGCCCTACTACCGCAGAAGAAGCCCTGAAACGGAGTAACCTTGTAGAAGAGTTCTGGATGAAGAGTGCTGAAATCCGGAGGAGCTTAGGGCTCACCCCAGTAAACAGAAACAGACGCTCAGAGACAAATTTTACTGTATCTGCCCTTGAGACAACTCCTCTAAAGACTTTTAATAGTGAGAATATTTCAGGGGATGAAAGGATCCATCTTGTAAAACCCCAGCCTGCCCCAAGACGACAGGGAATGTCCAAGTTAGAAAATGAGCAGATTTCTCTGCTCACTCCAAAATCTCCATCAGAAAAAGAGCTAAAGAGTTCCAGTGAAGTAAGGAGAGATGTATCCAGCAGTTCTGGACTTGGCCTTCAGGAGAGCTCATCTAACATGAGAACTATGGCTAGCCAGAGCTTCAACACTTCTGACTCTACAATGCTTACTCCTCCATCAAGTCCGCCACCACCACCTCCTCAGGGTGAAGAACCAGCCACTTTGCGTAGAAAGAGGCATCAAGCAGTCTGGCAGAATGAGGTTGAATCCAGGTCACCTCCAACACCAGCATCAACACCTCCTGCTCCCCTACGCCATGAGGTGACCTCTGCTCCCAGAGAGTCAACCCAGGCCAAAAAAGATGATATGCGGAAGTCTTTTGCAGAGAGTGTGGATGAGATTCCATTTGCTGATGATGTAGAAGACACATATGATGACAGGACGGAGGACTCAAGCCTTCGTGAGAAGTTCTTTACACCTCCTACCAGTCGGCCAAGGCCAGAGAAAGCACTTCTTTTGCCCTTGGTTAAAGAAAATGGTGGTCCACCCTCAATGGAAGGAGGAGTTAACCAAAAGAAGAGAGTGTTGCCTGAAATTTCTGCAGAGGCCAAGGAGCTTGCTGAAGAAAGAATGAGAGCCAGAGAGAAGTCTGTTAAGAGCCAAGCACTACGTGATGCCATGGCTAAACAGTTGTGTAAGATGAAAGATATGGAGATGGCTGCTGCTGCTGGGGCCACAAGGGCACGAAAGGCATCTTCTATGCCCTTGAAGACTAAAGAGTTGTTTTATGACTCTCCAAAGCATCTGGCCTTAAAAATAGCAGAGGGATCCTCACGAAAGCATGATGCTGCTAGTGAGAAGTTCTGCACTCCTGCTTCTGATGTGGCTGGACCTGAGGGGTCTGTCACATCTTCAGAAGGCTCCAGTGGGAAAAGTAAGAAAAGAACTTCTCTTTTCTCCCCTCGTAAGAACAAAAAGGAGAAGAAATCCAAAAATGACAGCAGGCTTTCTGACAAATCTAGTGGCGGAACAGAGGAAGCAACAAAGCCTAGGTCATTATGGAAGTCTGTTTTCTCTGGGTATAAGAAAGACAAAAAGAAAAAGACTGATGACAGATCCTGCCCAAGCACTCCCTCAAGTAGTGCCACTGTGGATTCTGGCAAGCACAAAGCTTCTCTGTTGGTTACAGCTGCAGGTATAATAGCTATGTATACTTTTTTCTATAGCTAGGTATCCTTGAAAGTAAGTTTGGCTTACTTTGTCGTTCAGCTACTGTGTTGAATGACACTGCTCCCCAATGCAGATCAAGGGTAAGTGCTAGCAGCTCAAATTGTATATTTGCGTATTGACAGAATTAGCTGATATGCCACTGAAAACAAAGGATCCTTAAATAAAGGCTTCACTTTCAGTAAGGCACATCTGTTTTCTGCCTTTGATTTGAGAAGTAAGCACTGTTTGCTGGAATCAGTTGTTTGTGACATTTCATCTCTATTTTAAATCTGGTCCTCATCTTTTCCTTGGGTGGTCTGTTCTGTTGCTTTCAACCTGACTCCAAGGATGCTGAAGACTGCAGAGATGCAGTCACTCCTATGTTCTCAGTGATCTGGCAATTGTCTGCTGATCTGTCAAGTGGGGATTCTATGGCCTCATGTAAATCTCTCTCACATACCATCAAGTGCAGGTGGAGATGTTTAATGGCAGCTTGTGATACAATAAATAAGTTAGCCATAAATATGATTGAAAGCAAACATGTTGCATTACTCTGGCCTTGTACAAATAGCCAAAATAGTGCCAGCCATTGTCATCCAAGTGCTGTGTCTATCATAAGAGCATTGATACAGTACAAGGGAAGAATCATGACCATTATTTTTAACAGTGTTTGCAGAAAGTGATGCTTCTTAGAATGAAGCTTCTAGCTAATATTGAACATTTTGCGGATCAGTGCTTCTCCGATCACTCTAATTCCAGGCAAAGCAATGGAGACTGTCATGAAGGATTACGTATTTTTGAAGATCAATCAACTTACAACTGAGTTCTGAAATGTTTACAGAAAAAGTACTTACCACTTCTCTAACTTGCCCTTTTTACTCCTGGCTTCTCAGATTTGCAGCTCCGTCAACACCTGAGTTTCTCAGAGGACTCTGACCTCTCCAGTGATGATATTCTGGAACGCTCCTCCCAAAAATCCAAGCGAGAGGTAAGCAGATGGCAGATGCATTTTAGATGGGTCTAGCGTTGTGCAGGTCACAGGTTCAGAGAATCACATCAGAAACTTGAAAGATTAATTTTGTCAGTTTTACTGTTTCTTCTGTGGACCAGGCTTTCCTGTAAGTTGGCTGACTGTTCTGCCTAAAATAAGTTGGTTTCACTTGATTTCACAATTGCAAGCTGCTCTCTACTGTGATTATCTGTTGTCTCACTGTGACATTACTTTATGACAAATATCACAGTCAGAATACTGAATTCCTGTTGTGAGCATGCCAGTGATCTACAGAAAACAGACATTTACTGTCAGAAGAGTAAATTTTACTGGCACTAATGTTGTTGCAAAAATATAACAATGAGATAGTTCTTACTTTTTGTAAGGGTCCAATTTTAGGATATTGTTTTACCAGCCTACTTGATAGATTGAATTGGTAGAATTCCAAGCAAACTACAGACAGGAATGTACTTTTGCATACATCAAGAACATAGTCAAGACAGATCATCAACTAAGAGGTAAGCGACAAGCTGCAGTTTGCAGCTCATGTAGGTTTACTTATTTTTCCTGGAAGTAGAGAATGTGTACAGTCTGAATTAGTACCTTCTCTTTAGCTGTTTCTCCTTTTTTCTTTGAGGACTTAAAGTCATAGAATCATTTAGGTTGAAAAGACCTTTAAGATCATTGAGTCTTTTGCTATTTCCATATGTCTTGTGTATGTAGGTAACAACTGTGAAGCTGAAACACATAGTAGTGAGCCTTTATGAAATGCCAGTATATGGGGTTGGTCTTAGCCTGGTGGTTTTGTTGCAGTGTGGTCTGGTATAAACTCTGCTTCCTCTGAGAGCACTGTTTCTTGCTCCTGACCAACCTTCCCTAGCTAGTGCTATAATGTCATACTGTAAGACATATCAGCAGCTTTCTAGACAAAATAGTTTCACTTCAAGGGGTGCTTTAAGGAAGCTACTGAGAAGGAAGGAGGATACACAAGTAGGTCTCCATAAAAGCTCGGAGAGAAAAATATATTTAATTTACTTGCAAAAATATTTATATGTGGAAAATACATTGTGAGAGCCAAGAGTCATATATTTGCTTTTAGTTGCTTTTAAACTTGAAATTTTAGGATGGCAGTATTAATGCAAGAGTAAGTGAAAAATGTAAGGAACTGTTCAATCATAGTAATGGGGAAGAGCCCTTCTTTAATTCCTGAGAGCTTCTAAGCTGTACTAGACGGAGTTCACAAGGTTTGGAGGAATACATAGGTATTTCAGTGACTCCACAGAACACTCAAGCTCTTCTGGTACTGAAGAATGAAAAATGTGTTCCCTCTGTCCCTTCCTGGTGGTGCCTTGTTCACATGTTAAAAAAAACTTGGGAAGAATAGAGCATCTGAGAGGGTACTGTCACAGTGACCTGTGCCTCCTGTCTCAAACCTGTCATCCAGCATGAACAGATCCGTGTCACATAGTTCATACTTGGCTCAGATGGCAAACGTATGAAATACTGCAAATTGAAGTGTCATAGGAAGTGCTTTCTGTGTATATATAGTGAGCTGAATTTGAATAACTAATGAATTTAAGGCTGATGGATGGAGTTGATGAAGAAAGTAGGAATTTTCTGTATTTACTTAACTCTCTTTTAATCTCTCTCCCTAGTTGACCTAGATCTCTCCTAAGAGGAAGATTATTTTGGTTTTATTTTATTCCCTTTTTTTCTCTCCCACCCCTCCATTCCTCCTTACATGCCCTCAAGGTGTTTCATGAGAAATTCTGTATTTTCCAAGAGATGCAGAAGAATGAGGTACCTGTGGCTAGCAGAGGACAGATACGCAATACAGGGGGTTCAGATAAGAGTTACAGTTACTGTTCTGCCTTGTACGCTCCTTCAGGAGGAAGCAGGGCTTCAGTATGGTTCATGCTTGTTTTCAGACTTTGGTAGGCCTTGATGGTTCTTTTTTTTTTTTTTTTCCTGTGCTGAGCTACTTTGATTTAAAATGGCTTTTGCAGGAAAAAAGATCTCATCCACTAAGCATTGAAGGGGACAGGTAACAGTGGCAGTTGCCTGGAATCCTAATACTGGAAATATCTCACCCAAGTATGGTGGTGGTATCTCATTTTCTCCCATTTCCTGTTGCTGAAGTTACTTTAAGAATTTATTTGCTCAGCATCTGCCTATTTTCTAAAGAATAGTTTTGAGAATTAATTTATTTAGAGGAAATGAATGAGAACTCCACTAGTTTTACTGCATCCTGTCCAAGGATGTAGAACATACATACCAACACTGGAATGCCTTGATGTCAAAAGAAATACAGCTGATCTTCAAATCTGACAAAACTGGGTTTGTGATGATTTGGGGTGGGGGCTGTCATTTTTAAGCTACAAACTGGCTGCTGCTTATGGATAAGAGCTGACTTCCTGTGGGCCACATGACTTTTATGTGAACCCCTTCTTTAAACTGAAATTCTGCTTGTGTTGCTTTGTTCATACTTGTAGTGAGCTTGCTTCCCAGACAGCTTGCTCTGTTTAGCCTGTTCTTTGTGATCAGCAGTGAATTAATTCAGTGTTGTTTAATGTAGTGTCTTTCAAGAGAAGCATCTTATAAAGAATTTCTAATGTAAATGCCTCATGGGTCTTCTGCTTATAGGTGTGTGTCATTTTGTGTGTGTTTGTCATGTTCCTGTACAATTGTAGCGTCGTGATCAGATGTGTGTTTTACTACCACAGGTAGCTTGCTTTTTACTGAAGTTTGCATACATGCTAAAGCTGTTCTATGGCTTTTCATTTGTGACTGTTTCTAGACATTTGAATGTGAAAATGCAAAATGCTGGCTGTTTGCCCAGAATGGCACAATGCCCTCTGTACTTCATAACATAGGGGTATTTATCTCTCTTATAAAACCTAAATAATTTACTTGCCTTATTTTTGAGGAGAGGGTAATGTAGAATGTCCTTGGATAGAGAAAATAGCTCTCCTCGTCCTCCCCTCCCCATCTCCTCATTTTCAAAGAGGCTGACAAAGCTAATTGCATTTAGGAGAGTGCTAGAAACTTGATTTTCTGCACAGAAGTTCCATTGTGCTTCATCAGTCTGGGTCATGTTCAGCATTTGCACTATTTTATGTTTCATTTAAAAACAGCTTTGTTTTATTACTGTGCATCTGTTTTCAATGTTGAATTGATTTTACTTCATTTTGTACGTTTTATTTTTATTTTTTTTTCCTTTACCATTCCCCCTTTAAAGTCGATTTATGTACCACACGCCTTGGCATTCAAGAGATCATATTCATCAAAGGTAGTGTGTCTCCATTCCCACTAGTTGGCCATTGCTGCATTGCATGCCCCAATATTAACCCATTGAATCCATAGCTACCCATCACATGTGCACTAACATCACAAACATTGACAGTGCATGCATGAGATGTTAGCAGACATGGGCAGCAAATTCTTTGTGGAGGTTGTCTACCAGAAATGCATTAAGATCCATATTGTCTAGTTAGAATACATGTAATCATCAGTGCAGAGCAGTGCACCACCACGCAGAGTGGTGTGGATGATCTTTCAGCTTCAGAACAAATTGGATTTCAAGGTAATTAATTACATAATCATAGAAACTTAGAATGATTTGTGTTGGAAGGGGCCTAAAAGATTATGTAGTTCCAAGCCCCCTGCTATGGGCAGGGACACCTTCCACTAAACCAGGTTGCCCAAAGCCCCGTCCAACCTGGCTTTGAACCCTTCCAGGGAGGGGGCAGCCACAGCTTCTGTGGGAAACCTGTTCTAGTGTCTCACCATCCTCACATTGAAGATTTTCTTCCTTAGATCTAATCTAAATCTACCCTATTTCAGTTTAAAACCATTACCCCTCATCCTATCCCTACACTCCCTCATAAAGAGTACCTCACCATCTTTCCCATAGCCACCTTCAGGTACTAGGAGGCTGCTATAAGGTCTCCTTGGAGCCTTCTCCAAGCTGAACAAACCTAACTCTCTCAGTCCTTATAAGGGAGGGCTCCAGCCCCCTGATCATCTTTGTGGCCTCCTCTGGACCTGCTTGAGCAGGTCCATGTCTTTCTTATGTTGGGGCCCCAAAACTGGACACAGCACTCCAGGTGGGGTCTCACAAGAGCAGAGTAGAGGGGGAGAATCCCCTCCCTTGACCTGCTGGTCACACTTCTCTTAATGCAGCCCAGGGTACAGTTAACTTTCTGGGCTGCGAGCACCCATTGCTAGCTCATATTCAGTTTTCCATCTACTAATACCTCCAAGTCCTTCTCCTCAGGGTTGCTCTCAATCCACTCATCGTCCAGCCTGTATTTGTGCTTGGGATTGCCTTGACTCATGTGCAGGACCTTGCCCTTGGCCTTGTTGAATTTTACGAGGTTTGCATGGGCCCACCTTTAAAGCCTGTCAAGGTCCCTCTGGAAGGCATCCCTTCCCTCCAGCGTGTTGACCCCACCACCCAGCTTGGTGTTGTCAGTGAACTTGCTGAGGGTGCACTCAATCCCACTGTCCATGTTGCCAACAAAGATGTTAAACAGTGCTGGTCCCAACACCGACCCCCGAGGAACAACACTCGTCACTGCTCTCCACTTGGACATGGAGACATTGACCGCAACTCTTTGAGTGCAACCTTTGAGCCAGTTGCTTACCACTGAATTGTCCATCCACCAAAACCATGTCTCTCCAATTTAGATACAAGAATGTTGTGCAAGAAACTGTCAAATGCTTTGCACAGGTCAAGGTAGATGATGTCAGTTGCTCTTCCCTTATCCACCAACACTGTAACCCTGTTGTAGAAGGCCACCAAATTAATGGCAAATTTTGCCTGACAAGTGAAGCCACGTTGGCTGTCACCAATCACCTCCTTATTTTCCATGTGCCCTAGCAAGAGTTTCCAGGAGGATCCGCTCCATGATCTTGCCAGGCACAGAGGTGAGACTGACTGGCCTGTAGTTTCCTGGGTTCTTCTTCTTTCCCTTTTTAAAAATGGGGTAATGTTTTCCCTTTTCCAGTCAGTGGGAACTTCACTGGTCTGCCCATGACTTCTCGAATACGATGGATATTGGCTTAGCCACTTCATCCACCAGTTTCCTCTGGACCCACGAATGCATCTCATCAGGCCCCATGGACTTGTGCACTTTCAGGTTCCTTAGATGGTCTCAAACCTGATCTTTTCCTACAGTGTGTGGTTCTTCATTCTTTCGGTCCCTTCGTCTGCCTTCTGTGACTTGGATGGTGTGGCTGGAGCCCTTGATGGTGAAGACAAAAAAGTCATTGAGTACTTCAGCTTTCTCCATATCCTGTGTAGTCAGTTCTCCCATTTCCTTCCAAAGAATGCCCACATTTTCCCTAATCTTTTATTACTGATGTACCTATAGAAGCTTTCCTTGTTGCCTTTGATGTCCCTGGCCAGATTTAATTCTGTTAGGGCTTTGGCCTTGCTAACCTGATCCCTGGCTGCTTGGACACTTTCTCTGTATTCCTCCCAGGCTCCTTGTCCTTGCTTCCACCCTCTGTAGGCTTCCTTTTTGTGTTTAAAAACACATATTCTTTTTTGTAATACTTAGAATATGAGTTCAAGTGAATCATCACACTTTAATCAGTGTACTTCAAAATTGTTGAGTTCAATGAAATCTTAGTGAAACTCTGTATCAACCTAAAATCAAGATAGAGGTTCCATTTCTATTTCAGGAATGGTGCTTCTTTCTGAAATTCTTGTCATATCTTCACAGTCACAACAGTGTTACATGGGATAGGAAAGTCACACCCTTTATCACTTTGCCTTTTGATTTGGGTTTCATTGTAGATTTTGTGTTTTTTTTAAAAAAAGAAAAAGTGAAGTGTTAAATTCTTGGAGCTTTAACAATGGTGTTTGATAACCACCTATCTGAGGGATTTTTAATAGAGCTGATCCTAACTTAAATCTCTATTTACTGAGAACAATAAACCAGAGGCAGACTGATGAATGTGGCAGTACAATAACTAGATAAAGCAAATTTCAGGGTGGTCTGTCTTAACATTTTGTCTTTAAAGTGGACTGTCCATGGAGAAGATCTCTTTCTGGAAGTGGGAGACATCTGTTTAGAGCTGTCCCTTAAAACTTGCATACACGTATGAGGGAAGTGTCGTTTCTTCACTGTAGTTCACTTAATGCAGCTGTGAAGTTTCTCTGACACTCTTAAAAGTCTATGAGAGGAAGCCTTCTTAGACTACAAGATAACCAACTAGTATACCTGATAAGATACTAAACCCCATTTCAGTAATGTAAAAAATACTTAGTTTTAAACTAGATTCACTGAGGGAAAAGGAGGAAATACCTTTCTGTTTCTGTAAACGTAGCCTTTCTCCTTTTGGATGGCTTCTGGTGTTGTAATATTCTAATTTTAGTTCAGGAGTTGTTTGCTCTGTTTCACACCAGCCAGTTTTGTGGGGTTGCTCTTGAGATGGGGTTTCCCATCTCACACCAGAATGTCATTCTGTTTTCAAATGTCTTTTTGCCTTCTTGATGCATAGAAAAGTTGCATAAATTTACACAGGACATCATTACCAGTTATATCAGTATAATTCCCAACTCTGGATGTTCTTGCTCCAGAATAAAATAGGGAGAGGGAAATACCAATACAATGACACTAGTCTATAATAATTTCTTAGTTTATAGCGTTGTAACTCTTCATGTAGACATGCCTTTACCTTCCTTTAAAATGAAGTCAAGGTGACCCCTCTATATGGTACTCATTGATTTAACTAAAACCATTTGGCTAAGTCTATTGAGAAATAAAACAAAAATTGATTTGATCTTTCGGGAGGGGTTTCATCTAGCAGTAGAAGGCAGGGGTGGGACATTAGATAAAACCATAGCTTTGCAGTTGGCTTATTTGCTTCTTCGCTTCTGGTTTGACACTGAAATTGTTGCTCACTGTACTGTGAACACCTTTGCCTACAGAAGCTTGACTTTTGACACAGCTATGGCAAAGACAGAACACCTCCCTTCTGAGATTTTGGAAGAGAAAATGGTCATCCCTCCCCCCATACTTCTGAGCATGCAAATAAAGTCTGCTCCTGTTTTTCCTTCCTTCAGAGAGCCTACACAGAAGAGGAACTGAATGCCAAGCTGACCCGTCGAGTGCAGAAAGCTGCCCGTAGACAAGCCAAGCAAGAGGAGCTAAAGAGGTTACACAGAGCTCAGGTAGTATCTCACAATCCTTTTGTCATGGCAGACAGTTAACTCCATGTGAAAGCACCATGATCCTGACATTCCTCTGAGTGTGTCAGAAGAGGAACCAGAGATGGGACTTTATTTCTAAATGATTGTCCTTGCTCCTACTCCCTCTTTCAAATTTGATTATCATGTCACAGACATAGGAAGAATGGCTGAAACTTATCATGATAGTTTTTCAGTGAGAAAAATAATGGCCCTAACACCTCTGTAGATGGAGGTGAGTGAAGCATCATGCACTGAATGGAACAGTGATAGTCAGATAATATCCAATGAAGCTGTACCTGTCATTGCTTTGCTAGATCATGCTGCTGGGTGAAGTGTTACCAAATTAACCTTTAATTACCAGAGAATGTATTGGAAAACTTCTGGCATCAGCTATAGATTATGGGATTTCTTTAAAACTCAGGGTAGGGGCTCAGCTGGCTGAATAGCATCACCTTTCACTTCAGCGTTTAGTAAGGTGATTGGAGTTGTAGCAAGTAAGTATCAAGGTGTTTGCAAAATTAAGGGATAGGATGCAAGGGGGTCTGAAGGATGTTGTTGCTGGAGGGATTGTGATGATAGCTTTTAAAGCAGTTAGCTTTTGAAGCATTGTATTGTTGTTGAATACAAATATTTTTGAAAAGGTCAGTTTGACTGAAGTCTTAGTGCTGGATGAGTGCTGCAGACAAGGCAGAAGAATTGCTTTTGTTGAGGTTCTGTCCCATTCTTCTCTGAACAGATCATCCAGCGGCAGCTTGAACAAGTGGAAGAGAAGCAGAGGCAACTTGAGGAGAGAGGGGTTGCTGTGGAGAAGGCCCTCCGGGGAGAAGCAGGTATCCATCAGAACTTGGTTTGCTTTTTAATGTTTTCTTAAGTGCTTGTGCAGTACCCCATAGCTGCTTGGATTTTAGAGGCAATTGGACCATCATAGCCTAGAGATAGTCCAATGTGAATCCATTCACCCTTTTGTACTATCTTTTGGAGGCCTTGTTTTTCCTGTGTTGCTTCTAATTCTGGGACTTCCCTGTGGGCAGAGACTTAATTCGCCTGTCTTTGCCTGAGGCTTAGGAGGTAATTTGCCAACTATTAATAACAGTGTTTGACTGTTTCTGCATATTACTGAATATTACAGCTGGAAAATTGCAGGGGTTTCCTAGCTGCAATTCACATAAAGCTGTCACAGTAATGAAACCCTGTTTGTAAGGAAGTAATTGTGAAATTGTGTGTGCTTTCTCTATTGTGTTGAATTATCAAGGTAGTGTACTTACAAGGGACCATCACAGAACATCTTCCTCACTGCACAGCCCAGCACACTGGCTACATCCAACAAAGTTGTGCAGAACAGAAATGCACAGGTATACTGAAAGGTATCCATGTCAAGCTGTTAAAGGAATGTTATGCATACCTGAAATTAAATTAAATGAGAATCATCTAATCTGGAAAGCATGTGAGTGGAGGAGTACTTGGTTCAGGTAATAGTGTAACGATTTGGAAAAAAGAATCCTCAATTGCAAAGATTCAGATATCCAACAGGCAAATGCAGTGTGCATACACCTGACAGGTCCAAGATTATGTACCTGATTACAAGGGTCAGAGATCAGAAATGGTAATAGTGGAATAGGTGTTTGGAAAATGTTTTGGCTTGTTACTTGGATTGAAGACCCACCACTGTGCCTGTGAAGATGGAACATGATTTAAGTAGTGAAGGTTCACCAGAGGAAAAGTCTGTTGTGACTTCCTGCCAATTATTACTTGCCCCGGATTAGGTATGTTTGATGCTCCCTAAGGGTGTACCAAAGCAGCAAGACTGAGTGGTTACCAAATGAACTAGGTGCGACAAGTGTGGAGAACAATCTTGAGGACTTCAGAGGTTTTGTTATCTGACTGGCTTCTTCATTTGCGAGTTCAAAAATATAGCTTTGTGCAAAAACTCCCTCTTTGCGGTGGTGCCTCCTTCCTTATGCTATGTATTTCTGTGTAGCCCCACTCTGTTCTCTGGCCTGCCAGTTACTGCACTTAATAAAACCACCTCTCTTATCTCTAATTGTTCTTTTTCTTCTTTTCATCTGGAAGTCCATGTTGATTACTCAGCTGCTAAATGAATTTCATATAAGACATATCAGCACAAGTGGGAGATCTTAGCTGCTGAGAGAACATTATTCATGATAGAAGAATGGTTCTTCATGATTGAGGAATGGTAGAAGAATGCCTAAAGAACATTCAGAGAGGGCACAATACGACCAAGATTAAGAATTGCTATTTTATATGGAAGACAGCAGAATGAAACCCTTGTATAACTAACTTCTCACTTCCAGTTCTCCCAAAATGAAAGCAGTCTTAGATGAGCTTGTGTATTTGTGAATTTCCTAGCAGAATTATGAAATTGTAGGTTGCTCTTTGTAAAATGAATCTTTCTTCTTCAGGAAGTCTCCAGGGTATGCTTTACTCTTGCAACATGTTTCTATCAACAGATCATACATTATGGTTACAGAAGCTTAACTCTATCATAAAGAATTCACCAGCCTCAACTCTTCCAGTTATTTCAGGGGATTAACAAGAAGCACATTCAGTTGGGGGGGGAAAGCATGTTCTAACCTGTGTTGACTGAAACACAAGATTATAAATTAATTCCATGCTTCACCCCTCTAGCCACTCATGCATGGACATTTTACATATGGTTGCAATAAAATAACTGAATTTCTTCCTGTTAAAATCTGTGACATCATATTCCATAAGTTCAATTAATTTCTCTCTTCAGTAGCCATTAATTATTCAGAACAGTATAATTTTCTTGTCATCTGCATTGCCTGAGGCACTGACCTAACAGTGACCACTCCACTCAGCAAGTATCATTGGGTAAAGCTCTGGAGTCATGCTCTTGTCTCTGATTGGTCCCTCCCCTAATGAAACCATGTGGACAAAAGTTAAAAAAGGGAAGGGCAGCATATAAAGTGCTGTTGTCATCTGGGGAAAAAAAAAAAAAATCTTTCCTTTTAATAAGCTTTCACAATGAGAAAAAATGGGGGAGGATGGGAGGTATGCCTCCTATGCAAATACTCTGTCCACATTAATAGTGAAGGATTGCAATACAGGATTGAAGTAATGGCTGTCCCCTAGGCAGCAACCAGTATTAAGGGTTCTAGGAAAACATATTAGGCTCTGTAATGAGTGGGTTATTCAGCTTCCTTCTCTGTAGGGAAAGAACAAATCACTCACTTGAGCATTTATATATGACATTTTAGTAGTAGCAGTTTTCCACTACTAGATACTTGAAAAGCCTGACAGAAGAAACAGAATTCTGTATTTTGTAATGACACTTTTCTTTTTGTATTGTAGAAAAATATAGACAAGACCATCTGAACTACTTCTCTATGTCATTTATCATCTTTTAGTATGTTGCCTGTTAGTCATCTTTCCTGTCTGTGAAGCATGTGAAATGTTGCTTTTGTAGAGGTGTTCCATTAACTTTAATTTCTCAGATCTCCCAACCTTTGGACCCCATTCCATTTTTAGAAAAAAGTACTTCAGTTGGACTGGTAAGAACAAAAATCAGTACTATGGGAAAGAATTTGTTTACTTAAAATAATTTTGCTTCTGTTTTCCATCCATTTTTCATTGTCCTTAATATGTTCTTGACAAGTGACTTATACTGAGACTGTCAATAAATTCTTCACAGCAATGCCCTGCTATCTTCTTGCAGGATTAAAGTTAATTTAGATCTTAGCAATAGGTACAGATAGGTCAATACTCCTTCCAGGAATTTCACTCATTATCTGATAGTTGTCAAGTTGGAATATTTATATGATGAACTAATCATACTCAGAAACATTTTGGAGGTCATTCTCAACTTTAAATTTGACAGGATAATTGCACTTTCTTGGCTACCTCCTTGTCTTCTCCTTTTTTAAATTGCTCAGCCTCAGACAAGGTGCAGTTGGTCTTTTATTCTTTTAAAAGCTGAATGCTCAATCTAATATTTAGTTTCTGATTCAGAAAATAATCTCACCCTATGATTACTTAATTGCCTTAATATGATTATCTTTGAGAATCTTACCCTTTGATAGTCACATTCATAGCAAGAATGAATGATTTGGAATGTAAGCTCAATTTCAAGTGACAGTGTAAACTCTGTTTCAGGTGGCAAGTTTGTCATATACAGGTGATCTAAGCTTTTGTTATCTTTTTTCCTTCACCTCTGCCCTCCTCTTTTCTTGCATCATGGTATGAAGAATTTTCCCATTTTTCTGCATTGTCTCAAGAGACACCTTGAATGGGATTTCTATTAATGTAACAGTATTTCATATTGTAGTGCACTCGCCTGTTTGGACATACTTCTGACTTTGATTTCCTGTGTGGAATTTTTATTTTTCAATTATTAACTTAAAAAATATGTCAAATAAGAAATTTCTGGGACCTTTTATTTCCTCCCTTATCCTCCTTTAGCATAAACTTTGATAGTAATTTTTAAGAGCTGGAAAAATGTCTCCTACTGTCATATCAATACTGCAAAATTTAGGAGCCACCTCTTTACATCAAGTGAATCCCATGCAGTGAGAAATAGTGCTCTCAGTACTCCCATCTGTCTCTTCCCCAAAGAAACGTTACGTGGTGCTAGATTCATGGTGTACCTGTCTGTAGCAGCTTTGGACATGCACATCTCTGTTCCGCACACCTATGTGCAGGTTCTTTTCTGGCACAGATACTTCATTAGCAGAAACACACACACCAATCTTTCTACACTTAAGCATTTGCCATTGGCATCAGTGCTCGGCACACCCGTATGCCATGTTTACACATCCTCCACTCACTTGTCTCCTAAGAAGTCAACCCTTGCACCTTTCCTGCAGCTGACCTAAGAAGTGACACTGTTTCCTTCTGACATGTTGCTCATCATGAAAGCGACAAGATTAGTTCTGCTTTTCTCAACAAGAACAAGACAGACATCAGTGTCAGGTACTGGTGCAGACTGAAATAGGTGAAGTGTCTCTGTGTAGACTTCTTGATTTTTCCCCTTGGAAGTCCTTGCCTGACTGCTGGAAATTTTCTCTTGATCTTCCCGACATATATGTTTGTGATATATATTTGTGTCTGTACATATAGATATAGATATATATATATATACACAGAGACATGATTTTTTTATATATATATATATCTATATAGATATATCTATATATGTGCCCATATATATAGCTGCATGTTTCTTGTTTGCCTTTTTTTGTTTCTGTCTATGTCTTTGTCACATATATTGCTTTGATTGTGTGGTGCTAGGGTGGGTATCTGATACAATAACTCTGTCTTCACCAATTCCTCGTAGACTATTGGGGAGAGTCTTATTACAGTGACCTCATCGACTTGCATCTGGGTGGTATGTATGGCTGAACCTCCTGCTGACACTAACCCTGCTGACACTCCTCCCCAGCCCTCCCTTCACCTACTTCTCCCATCCTTGGCTCACAAACAAGGAGAAACAGCCCTTGCACATGACTGGCTGTAGCAGAACCCCTTTTCCAGCTCAGGAAGAGGAGATCCTGGCATGCTCCACAAACTATGTGTAAGGCTCCCTCTTCTGTTCTCCACAGTGCTGATTATTTTAAAATTTACTTACTGTTTTCACTCCAGCCACCTTCCCTGCTAGCAGTGGAGGGCTGTTCTGGTTTTTTTGCTTCTCCTTTGCAAAGTCCAGCTCTACCATCCAAATCCTCTGTAGGAAAATATTTTAACATGAAGGAGACAGCAGAACTGACCTGCTCCCAGGAGCTAAGGGCACTGTAAAAGTTAGTCATGCCATTGCCTCCCTCTTCCCCTCCCGAAGCTCATTTCCTTCTTCCAAAAAAGCAAGAGTGTGTTGATGATCTAACAAAACCAAAATGTTCCCTCAAGGGACTTTGGAAATACTTGTAGATGACTTCTTTCTTCTTGTTCTTCTAATTTTTGCTAGAATCTGCTGTTAGAGTTTCTAGTCAGCCCAGTTTGCATCAGTACACAGCTAATAAGCTTCTTGCTATGTTGTGGGGTTTTTTTAATATCCCATTTAGTCCTAAACACACGTTACAGTGTTTAGCTCTTTTTTTCACTTTGCGCCATGGTTCTGCATTTCTTTAATTAATGTTACTTCCTGAGTCCCTTAGTACATTTGCAACTTTTGGGTTGCAAATTGCATTTGTTTAGCATTTGCCCATCTTGAAAATTAAAATTCCCTTTTCTAGTTTAATCACCCTTAAGTCTATGCTTACAAAATAAACATGTCTGTCAGCAGATCCAATAGAAAGCAAACTCTGCTCGGTTGCTTTGTCATCTGAGGGTCTCATTTCATTTGTCTTTCAGAGTATGAAGTTTCTTGATCTAAGCTGTGTTATTGTTGAGGGAGTGCATAACAGTCCAGCTCTGCAGAGTGAAAGATCCACACGCTCTAGGCCTGATCAAAGACACATCACTAGAAGTCTTACCCTGATTTCATTGTGTTCTGCATTTGATCCTTCAAACATAATTTTTCACAGGCTTTTAACGGTCATTTTTTTTCTCCTCCTCCAAGGGAAGGCCATCCCACACAATATCTATCTGTAGCTGTCTGTTGGGAATGACTCCAAATTGTCCTGGTGCAATAGGCTTTTATTGAAGAAAATCCACCTGAGTTAAGAATATCCACCTAAGTTCACATTTCAAAATGGAAGACTTTTCTCCTTAGCAGATCTAATTTGTGGCCCAGTTCCCCTGTGCTAATTTTGATGTGATAGTCATCTGCTAGCCCTGTGCTTCATTCACTGTTCAGTCCCTCTGGCGTTCTTTCCTAGGGTATCTTCTGCAGAGAGACTTTGAAAGCCTCTTCTTAGTTACGTCCATCAGGGCTGACCCATACTTGTATGTGCATAGAGTAGGAGCTGTAAAAGGGTTGATGCTGAATTACACTTAACAGACCCTTATCCCTATTTAATGCTATTTTCACTATACTTCTCCCTCCTCCTGCTTCTCCTCCTAATGCCTCTATAGAGGCAGTGATCCCATCAAAATCAATAATAGTGGCTTTAAGAAAAGCAAAATAATCTTTACTTAAAGGGACACTGTCACTTAAAAAAATACTGTGTTGCAGAAAATGTTGATTGAAAATTGAATTTACTGGGGATTTTTTTGTATGTTTGCTTTTGTAATTCTCTGAACTCAGTCACCCCAGAGTGGTCATTTCTGATCTACAACAGGCTGATTTTATTTATAGGGTGACTTAGTCACTTGCACTTCCAACAGTCAGAGACAATGTTATGTTTATTAAAAATGGTTGATATATACAGAAACTCAATATTTTAATTCATCTCAAAAATACCTTTTTCTAAACAAACTTTAAAAAAATTAATTGGGCAGTATCCCTTTAAATGCAATGAGCAAGCATAGCCTGTCTGGAGTATGTGGCTTACAGTATTGTTTTGTTGCCTCTGTAGTTTGCTTTGTATTTGCTTTTGGGGCTGCCAGAACACTTTTGCCAGAGGGGATACATTGCTCTGATTATACTTGTCACTTTTAAGTGGCAGATTTAGAGCTCGGCTTCAAAAGTAATATGTCTGTCCAGGATGTTGCATTGGGGTGGAGTGCATTAAAATCTCTGGAGCACTGTGTGGCTGCATGGTCCTGCTGGCTGCTATAAGCAGCTAAGACGGCTGCATGATTAATTGTTCTACTGTCAACTTGTGTCTCTGAGGCATAGACATGACTCTAGAGTCATGCTGTCAGTAGAATGATAAGCAAAATTACAAAATACTTTGAAAAGTTATCTGTAAATTGGTGGTAATTTTTGAATGATTAGGGCGTTAATTTATTCTGGATTTCCTTTATACTAATGAGAGTTATGTTTCATTCAGATGTTACAGATTGCTCAACAACTTCTACAAGGGGGTGGTAATTTCTGACATCCTTGGTTGTTCCAGTTTGCAGGATTATGATTGCTATCTTAACTACCCCCATTGCTCTGCTCAGATGCCATAATCCTCTCTTCCTGTTCTAAAATGTCATGTACTGTTGCTGTAAAGCAGATGGGGTTTTTTTCATGCTACAGATGGTCACAATTCAGTTCTGAGTAATTATGGCTATGTGTATATTGTATATGCAGTTATGTTAAAAGAACATTACAAAGGTTGCCGAGGTAACTGAAATTAAGATGTTGTATTATGTTTATATATCAACAGATTTATAACTTTTAGATCCATCACAGAGAGCTCTGCCTCATGCTCTTATGGAATAACTGATAGCAACTCTAGGTTGTCATCCTCTACATAGATCCTCATGGAGAGGAAATGGGACATGATCAGTGGATTTCACAAATGTTTGCTGGCAGCTGTGGAGTGGTGAGACTTGAAAACACAGATTCTGAGCCAGATGCTGGAAGGATATAGTGCTCAGTTGGATGCACACTTTGTCCTTTTTATTCCCTTTTACAGTCCTTGTCCTAATCCTGTCTTTTTCCATCCAAAGCTCCTTACCCCAATTCTGTTTTCATTCGTAATCCCAGTTTCTGCTTCTCAGGAATTTAATTTTAATCCTGTCTTCTTGACAAAGAAATCCTAATATTCTACCCCTCAGACCTTGTATTCCTCCCCTAGATGTTCTTAGTCTTTCACTCCTGCTCTGGCCTTCCCACTGACTCAGTCCCCACAGTTTCAGGCCCTGCCTCTGGCCTTCTCCCAGTATTTTTGGTCTCTGCTTCCTCTTCTACCCAGCATTATTTGTCTGGAAAATTGTAGGTTGTATCTTCTCCACAAATCTAATTTCACCCTTTTCCTCTCTGTCTCTTTTCCTTTAGTAGTTTGTATTCTCAGTCTCCTTGCTTAATTAGTCCCAGCCTCTCTTCGCCCTTACCCACCAGTTCCTTGTCCCAGTTTGCTCTTTGTCTCCCTGTGGAAAGTACCTCTCTTGTTCCCTCTGTGTTCACATGATTAGCTTCCTTTTCCTTGCACCCACCAGGGAATCATTGAAGAAACTGCCCCACACTCCTGTCTTGCTTTGCTCTTGGCTGGAGTATGCCAAGACAGGCAAGAAGGATGTAAGGAAAGAGGGCTGATATGTTTGATAGTGCTGATTTCCGACATAGGTTTACCCTTCTTGACAAAAGCCTTGAGAACATCAGGTAAACATGAGGGAAAAAAACAAAACAGTGCAACTGTGGTTGCTGTGGTACTAGCACTCTACAACTTCAGTTTTTATTAGCTTATTTAAAATACTTGAGCTGACCCCTTTAAAGTCCTGCAGATCTAACTCTGCAGGGCTGGAGTCTGATATACTCAAGTGGGAACAGTCCTATTTCTTGTGATTGGCAAACACAGCTCTCCTGGAAGAGGAGTGGAGTTGTAAGATAAATATTGTGTTTTGCAGCCTGCAGCTGCTTTTGACAGTGAAGTGATTTGGAAACATGGGGTTTTTGCTGTGAATTTGGAGCAGGAAAGATCACTTGATAAGCAGAACTTGTCAAGTATGATTAGAGTTCTTGCTAGGTACTGGAAGCAAGCAATTATCATTTACTTCTTTCTGCACACCTCTCACAACGGCATACAAAAACTATTAGTCTTAGGAGACAGGGTCAGTGCACAACTGTTCTAATTCTTACTGCATTTTGAAGTGTCTTGAGGTTTAGTGGAAGCAGAATTCTGTGCAGTCATTTCTGTGTATTCTGCTTCAACTATTGCCTTCCCTAGTTTCCCATCCCTGCTTTTTTTTCCCTCTGCTGGATAAATAAAGGTGTGGTTCAGTTTGCATGACAATTCAGTAGTCTGTGTGTTTTCCACAGATTTCTTCTAGTGACTGTACTTTACAGGATATTGATTTTGATTCAGTTTTAGTATACGAAGTCAGACACACTGAGTGATGTGTCTATGGGATAGCTGTCAGAATCTTTGCCCTCAACTTTATAATACCTGCAGTTGTGTAGATGTTATTCTCTAGGAAGTGACTTTCTGTATTATTGCTCTTTTACAATGCTGCTGTTGAACGACTGCAATAATTCATAAAGTTGGGGTGCTTTATTTTTCAGTATTCAGGTTTCTGACCATAACCAATTTTTAAAAGGTGGGAAAGAGGATATTTCCTGTGACCTGTGCACAGTTTGTCTCTTTTGGACTGATCCTTATTTTAAGCACCAAGTGAAAATTTGAGTTCTTAGTTTGTCTGCTAAATGGATGATGGAAGTTGATAGTAGAGTAGGAATTTTTGAAGTATCATGCTCTTAGAGAGTGCCAGCATAATGGTGCATGAGAGCTGAGATTAGCCTCAGAGCTAGATTTCCTGCCCAGGAAATTGTTACTGATTTCCAAACTGCCCTGGTTAGTCAGTAATACAGAAATCAGAGTCTTTGGATGCAAAGTTTGCAAAGGATGTGATCCCATTTGGTATGTGGTATATCTGTTTAAGTTATTTTGATTTGCTCACCAGTTGTCATGAATCATCACAACTCTCATATCACAGGGCATGGGCAAATAATGAAGGAGATCAATGTGAGCTGTATTTTGAGGATAATGATGTCTGCTACCCCAAACTTTCTGCTGTGCTTTCTTCATCCTGATTGATCATTTTTACTACTGTGCTTCAGATTTTGAAGAAGTGTTATGTAGCTACAGCAGAAAAGGACAAAACCAGTCTGAAGTATTGCTCTTTAAACAACAGGTAAATGAATAGAAGACAACAGTCCAGTGTAGCTTCAACAACGAACAATGTACAGTGAAAAGGAAGGCGCATTTCCATGGTGGCTATACAATTTCTGTTCCTTGTTCTGGAAGAGGCTTTGGAGCTGTGGTATTTATTCTTGGCCTGGCTCTTGGTTTCCATCCTGTAGCAAAGTCTGCAATCTCTCGAGAGTACTGTGGCAAACAAGGTCTTTCTTGTCATGGCTGCATGAAAGACTTTCCAAAAAGATCTGGGAAAGGCTTCTTTTCACAGAGGCAAGATAATTCTAGTCACTTTATTGATGGGATGTGACTAATCCGCACGGCAGAGCTTTCCACTTCTCCAAGATGTTCAGTGTGCTCAGGAGCTGGGGCACCTCAACGAGCTGCAGCTCCTGCCTCCATACCAGTCACCCTGTGTGTCCTTCTGAATGCCTCTGCTTGCCAGCAGCTTGGACTGCTGACCTCTGCTTTGTAGGCTTCACGTGCATTCAGAAAATTTGACCTGTGGCATTGAAAAGGAACAACTTGTGGTAAACACATTCTATTGGCAGCTTTGCCTCTCTGGGAAAAAAAAATTTAAAAGTTATAATTTTCTGTCCAGAAACTACAGTCATGCCTCAGACTCCTAATAACAACATGGAGGGAACCCAAGAAGTGAATGGTCACAGAAATGGTTCTTCTCTTGCCCTTCAGTTCCTTAAAAACAAACTTCAGCAGGGCAGTAGGAAGCTTGTTTTGCTGCTGCCAGCAGCACTCTTTTTCATGCTGTGGATGAAGATCTATGTCAGCAGACCTGGCTTGGGTGTTTTGTTGGTGGAGGAGACTTAAACAGAAAGAGGGCTGTTTTTTTTAATTTGCTTGACAAGAGTGTTTTTCCCATTAGGCCCTGACTCCATGTCTGGGAAAATTGTCTTGCAGTGATGACCATGTTTTTGAGTTAATGAGACCATGACATGGTGATTTCTCTAAACAATATAATAATAATAATAATAATAATAATAATAATAATAATAATA